CCCATGAATCTACACTTGTCCATTTTGTTGGAGAATTAAAAAAAAATAGAAATAAAAAAAACACACACACACACACACAAAAGCAATTATTGACACAAAATAACCCTTGCATAGCGTCGCTCTCTTCGCGTATCTCTTTTCCTTGCCAGCTCTCCGGCCCCACGTTCTTTCAATACCTATTCATCTTCAATGTCTTGTATCCATCTTCGTGGTGGTCGACCCCTGCCTCGCTATCCACAAATGGCACCTTCCATCACCGTCTTTTCCAAGCCACCATGACACTTGATCTGGCCAAAATGCTTCAACCTTCAGGATTGGATGCTTCTTCTTCTTCTTCTTTCGTTCGCAAGAAATAAATTGTCTATATCTGCAAAGCTGTCTCTAGTATGAATTTCACTGTCTTTTGTAATTCACTAAGCGGCCCGTAAAGTTTGACTTCCACAAGTGTCTCTTTTGGCCAAAGGTTTTGCCTGAAAGCGCTGAATCTGGGACAGTCTTGAAGGATGTGATCTGTTGTTTCAGGTGCCAGTCCACAAGTACACATGGCTGATTGGCCAATCTTAAATTTGTTGTACATGTGGGAGCGAAGTCGATTGTGCCCTGTTCTAAGGCGAAGGATAATGACTTGCTCTGGTCTGTCCATAATATGGTAATCATCTTGTGCCAGTTTCGGTGGCATTCTGATTGATTTGATCATTCTCTTCTTCTGTTGATAATAAACTGGTATGTCAGGTGGTTCTTCAGTTGCACCTTCCTTAGCTAGTTTATCAGCTTTTTCGTTTCCGGGAACTCCACAGTGGGAAGGTATCCACTGCATTACTAATTTACAGCGGTTGCCTAGTTCGGATAATAGTGTCCGTATGCTTGGTAATTTTCCAGACTGGAGTGACTGAAGTACTGCTTTTGCATCTGTCAGGAATACCACTGGTTGTGAAAAATACCCTGTATTTAGTAGTTTCTCTACCGCTATCTTGATGGCTTGAACTTCTGCATCATAGTTGTGACAGTGCTTTCCCGTTGGTAATTTGGCTGTATCCCTGGTATTATTAGGATCTATCAGTTGCAGGTAAATCAAGTCTGCCGAGCCGTTTGGCCTGGTGGATAAAACTACTTCTCTTTAGTCGTCCCAAAGCTACATTTTTGAATCTTTCATTCATAGGGTGACTGGGCATACTAAGAAACTTTTCTGCTTGTAAAAGCATCTTGGTGTCTCTGCGTTCACTCAGTGCTTGGGTCATCCCCATTTTCTCCATCACAGTTATAGGTGGTTATTTCATACTGCCTGTGGTAACTCTGAGTGCTTGATTTTGCACTTTGTCTAATTCTTGAAATGTGGTTTTTGATGCCGAACTCCATGCTGTTGATCCGTATTCAAGATGTGGTCGAACACTTTGTTGGTAAACTTTTCTAAGTATTTTCCCGCTAGCACCCCATGTGGTTCCACTTAGTTTTCTCAGAATGGCTACCCTCCTTCTGGCTTTGGTTGCTGCCTTGTTGATGTGTTTTCTCCATATTAATCTATCATCAAACGTTACGCCGAGGTATGTGGGCTCCTTATCCTCTCTCAGGGGTACTCCATTTATGTGCATGACACCTGATTTTTGTTTAGGAGAAAGGGTAAATAGGGTGGTGCTGCATTTGCCTATGTTGATGCTGACACACCATTTGTCGGCTGTTTATGTTTTTCCTCTTCCTGTTCCATGATATTCTAAGAACTTTTCTGTAACATTTCAATTCAAAAGCTCCAATCTTTTTCCTCAGTGACTGAGTGAGAGTCCAAGACTCACAACTGTAAGTTGCCACAGGAAAAATGCAAGATCTCAAGATTTTTACTTTAACCAATTTACTAGTGCTTTGCCATAGGCTCTTTATGCTATTTAATCTCTGCATTGTCAATGCAAGTCTTCTTCTGACTTTTTTTTTTTAGCAGTCACCACTGTTGTTCACTAACTCGTTACGGACGTTTAGCCAGTATACTGGCGATGAAGTATATCTTTTAAAGACGTAAAGCCAGTATACTAAATCATGATAGAGACACTCTAATTTTGTTCCGTTTGTAGGGAAAACGAACTTTTATGAACAAGGTTTTGAACATTTAGGATTAACAGGAAACACTTTTGTTTGCGACGTTCATCGTGGTCGGTGCATTATTTTGTGATTGAAAAAAAAAATTTTTTTTTTAGAAAGGATAAAATTGTTACCTGATTTTTCTATACTAAATGATAAGGTAAAGGTCTAGAACTGTTCATACTGCTCTATCGTTTATGAATCTCTGCCAGATGGTGACAACAGTCTTGATATTATGATTGATATCAAAGTGAAAAATCTACTAGCGATAATTTAGTTTAGGATATGAAAATTTGACAAAATATTTCAATCAGATCAATGTTTGCATCAACTGTTTCTCGGATTTTCGGTTGTTGCAAAAATTGACATGGCATACAAAAATGATCATAACATCGAAAGTAATTGAATTAATTGTTTCAAATAAAGACTAGCTGATACATAATTGAACAGAGAAGGCAAGTGCATTCTTAAAATTGGATAGCAGTGTTGTTGAACAATTAAAAAATAAGGTGAAAGGATATCGCCACAAATTCTTATGTCAATAATTTCCATACGCGTCTAACATCCTTGAATGTTGTTTGATTTAAACATTATTTTGATGTTATACTGACATTTAAATAGTTTAGATTGATTCTTCACTCAGTTATCTTTAATTTGATATACTCTGTGTCCCGATACTACCAATACTTTTTCTTCAGGAAAGTTTTAGCTTTGACGTGTTGCAATAACAAAATTTCAGCTCAAAATGAATGCTGTCGAAATCCCAGAAAAACTTTCGTCCTGTCGAAATCTGTTACGTTCTCTATTTTTTGATTTTCGATTGTGATACGTGGTTGGTGTGCTGTATTTACTAAGGACATCATTTTTTTTTTTTTTAAGTTCAAAAACAGATTAACTTCTTCGCTGTGTTTTTTGACGGACAGAATTAATTGTTCTAAATCTTGCACACCTTTGGAAAGGAGAAGTCTGCATAGGATCGGAGAGGATTATCTCCAATTTTTAGTGGATCAAAGCTCGCACATGCGTCATCGCTAATATGCGTTTCTCATAAAATTTTCAGCATATATGTTAAAGAGGAGGGTGAAAGAATCTTTGTCTCACTCCTTTCTGCACTTCAAATCATTATTAAAAACCACCATAAAATCAATGATTCGATACTTACGATGTGTCTAGCCTTCGGCGCTTTTCTCTGCAGTTTTTCGTCCTTTTCCATAATCGCTTTCGGCGCCTGAAGCCGAATCACAACAACAACATATTCGAGAAACGACAGTCGTTCACAGAAAAAATGTTGCGACAAGAAAGCTGCTAAGCTTCGTTTGAGAGACAGTTTTTCGATCGCGTCGAACGAACGAGAGCCAATTTTTTTTTTTCCACGGGATGCGTAGAGAATAAAAGGCATTTCTAACACCCCTAGAATATAGGACCGCCCGTGGGAACGGCAACAAAATCTCGTGGCTAAACGAGATAGGGTGACTTTTGTGATGTGTAGCGGTTCTGCTTCCTGTTTTTATGGCAGCCTTGACTTTGGACACTTGCGTTGTTGTATAGTTTCTCTGATGTTATCATTCCATGTTGTTCTCGTTTTACCCGTGCTCTACGTCCCTCGTCTCTTTTCTTGTATGCCTTATGTGGTATGGCGTCGCAGGGTATTCTCTCTCAGTAAGTAAACTGGTTCATTTGCTGTCTGTGTATTTAATTTATAAATACATATAATTGGTTCAGTGCCGACTTGTTCTCTTATGACCTCATTCCTGATTTTGTCTCTGGTGGTCACTCCTGCTGCCCTTTCTCAGACATCTCAATTGTGCGGTCACTAATTGTATTCTGAGGCTAGCTGTGAGTGACCATGTCCGACCCCGGTAGCAGAGGGATGGGATGAATATGCTTTGCATGGGATGTTTCTTTGCGCTGGTTGGAAATGTTTTGTGTTGCATCTGTGGTTTAGTGCATTGAACATTCATTTCTTCGTTTAATTTACCATCTTCGGTAAATGTTGCTCCTACACATTTAAACTCTGATGCCTGATGTATGGTGTCTTTGCACTCTATTGATATCTAAGTTTCTGCTTCTCTCTTCCTTTTAACATTACTTTGTCCTTTGTCCTTTGTCAAATTATTTCTGTGACATCCTTTATTCCTAACCGTCAGATGCTGTTGCAATTTTCTAATATCAAGGCCTTATAATAAAGCTAATACAAGTTGCTTCTGTTCTATTTCCTTTAATGGCGTTTCTGTGAATTTCTCCTGTTGTATTCACGTCTGAAAATGTATTCCCAAGTCATTGGACGCCAATCTTTACTGGCAACACTCTCGGGTGTGGTGGTGGGAAAAGGAGGGGCGGGGTAGTAGTGAATAAAAAAAATAATAACATATAATAATGCGATGCAATGCACACAAGACAGCTTTGCCGAGAATGTTGTCTCTGTCAAATTTTTTTTTTTTTTTTTAATTTCGCAAAAGAACTCAGAAAAGGCGCTTAAGAAATAGCTGGTGTGCAATAGAATTGGAACTGCCATTAACTGGTTAGAAGGACCACGGAATCCTAAGGGACTAGACGCAGCCTCTCTGGTCGGATGGTTCGGGGTTTAAATCCGTAAAGCAGCAGGACTTTTTGTCTTCTTAAAATAATGAACCACGATTGCCATGCCGACCCAGCCCACAACTCTGTACCATATGTCTTGAAAAGTGACAGCTCACTGGGTTGTGTTGACAAAATCATCCACTGGCTTCATAACAGTCTACTTGAGCCCCCTTTGCTTGATGCGCAACTTGTGTAAAAGAGTCCTTAGCAGTTTATTGTGACAAAACTCACCATTCTTCCATGCCTGTTGTCTAGTTCACTACCACGATGCCACGGTGACATAACAATTTTGTTACTGATAATAATAATTGGCAATATTGTTTGCGATAAAACAATAATACACGTTTAACAAGGCAAAGCGATGAACAAACAATGCGGATTAAACAGCTAGAGAACAAGCTTATGCCTACCCACACAGACAAGGAAAACAAAAGGCTCACTTCTAGCGACAAGAATCTTTCTCCGTGTCCGAATCCTGGATACGGCAACGCAGAGACAGCAGTCTGTAGAAGACACTCGAGTCCTAGAGGGAGGAGGAGGAGAAGACACCACAGCTGAAGAATAAGATGGCGAGGAAGAAGATACAAATGGGAGAGTATGAAATCCTCTTATGGATGGCACCAGCGGGAAGAATGTTGACAGTGTGGCCACCAAACTGATTTGAGAGTTGCAGAGCAAACAGCCAGGGCTCTTGGCTTGACTGTTTGCTATCGAAATTAAGACCGTATGCAATCAAAGTTCTGGGCAAATATTGGGGAGGAAAATTACAGATTTACAAAAGGTAAATACGCTGATCTTAGTTAAACCTGACTTTGGTGGACATGAAAATAGAGATATTATTATTTCGTGGCTACAGGATTCGTTTTTTAATATCCTCACGCCTGTTTTTGTGGGTAGAAATTTTGTAAGCCAAAATTTAAATAATCAAGGCGCACTGCTGGCGTTGTCCATGCCGTGCGCGTGAAACTACAAGATTAACTCCAATGAATTTGATTCGGTCAGATGATCTGAGATTTTGTTTTGTTCCGTTTTTCATTTGATTACGTGGTAAACCAATGTTTTCTTTTTTTGTAAAAGAACAGAAAAATCCGTCTTTTTTGATGTACAGAAAGCAGGGAAAGATAAATACCAACAGTTTGAAGACAGCTTCTCGTTATTCCGATGTCCCGCTGTGATGCACCTGAAAATAGAGGCTGGGCAGGTCTCGGCGTCATGTTCACCAAATGTTGATTAAACCAGAATGTCGAATCATGTCTGTTCAAGGAGCACATTTTGATTATTCACTTCTCGAAAAATTCCGGAAAGCCATAATTAGTGCAACACTAATGGTAAAGTTGGTTTGTAGTTAATTAAAATTGCAGTTTGTAGGGATTGGAGAGATAGGGGGAGACAACAACGTACTTCCCTGTTGTTCAACATCCGACTCATTTAGCGGCCTCTGAAGCCAGGACAAGGCTTTCTGTGAGGATGGAGAGAGGGCGGTATCCCAGACACGAGTGTTCACACTCTCAGCCAGGGGGTCCACAAGGGGGTATCTAGCATTGGCCACTTCTTGTGTTAACGATTAGGTAAACATTTTCTGATTCCACTAGAGAAAATGTTGTCCATTTGTTAAGATGTTTACTGAGAGGACGTGGAAAGCCTCAGAAGACGGGACAGACAGCGAATCGTTACTTTGTGACTTCTTTCTTTTAGTCGTTCCGTTCACTGAGACACAAATGATCGTTAACCAAAACCTGAAATATTAACAGAGTCATGTACATCCATGGAAGAAGACGATGATAAAGTCTAGACGAGGGCGACGGTAGTAACATAGTAGCTAGACGATCGTCTGCCCACCCGAAGTTTTTAGGTTGGAGGCTACATCAAGTCGGATTTTGTTATTCAAAACTAAACTTCGTTCCCTGAGCGATACAGCATTAAAGTCATAATGGATAACATTTGGGAAATAAAGGCAGTTGATGTTGAACCGACTACATCGCCAAAAGAATGTCCAATAGTCTATAGAAGTATGACTCTGCGACCATTCAACATTAAATGATTTATTTACTTATAATATTACTTTCAGAAGGGTAGATGGTAATACAGCTGTTCTTTCTGCAAGACTTTGTCTTCATCTGCAGGAGATAAGTCCGTGGCTTTATGGATCTAGAGCTCTATTTTTTTTTTCTAGCACCTAATGTATCTTTTGGTTTTGATTTCATTTTCATGTGATCTATTATTATACGTTCACCTCTGCATTTTTAATGTTTCAAAAACATTAAGGATTCACAAACCATCATATAATAAGTACAGTGATGTAGAGCAGTTAGATATTTTCATGTTTTCCCATTTATTACTCTATTATATTCTTTTTTGTTTTGTTTTGCATGATAACATTATCGTTCAATAATATTTGCTAAACCATGAATAAAACGTATAGTTTGTCAGATGTTACAAAGGCAGTTTTTAGAATACAGATGTTCAAATGAAGGCAAATCAGATATTGCGCTAGATCAAAGTTAAAATGGTGAGAGCATGCATCCTCCCTATAGCATCAGAAGGATGTTAGTCATCGACTATCTCCTAGTCCATAACTCTTTGAGTCCCAGGGGGTTTAGCATCACAGGCCCAGTGGGTAGTCAAGACAGACGTAAAATCGGTGCATCATTGGGCTTCTAGGTAGGAATCTGTGAACGCATGACGCGTCCCTTGGGACTCAAAGAGTTAAGGAAGAACACTAGGCTTTTTGAGCTGAAACGCTCCAGAAAGATTCTCAGAACACCAAAGGCAAAAAAGAAATGAAATATTGATATTCTAAAAGATCTCAATATGAAGAAAATGTGGCCAATAAACATCATCTTATCTTGGAAGGTGAAATGTTTTGTTCACATCAATCGCCATTGCAGATTAGAAGAAAAAAAATAGCAGAAGACATGGTACCAAGAAGCAGGGGTAGGGACCGACTAACACGAAGATGGGCAGAAGATATAGGTGACTTATTGAATATGAATGCAAACGAGATGCGAGAGCTGGCTAGATACCGGGTTTCTTTCAGGGAGACCTTGATGAGAGCGAGGTTCTGCAAAATGCCTACTACATGATGATGATGATTGTCCTGATGATTAGATATGGAAATGGAAGAAACTGGCTTATAAACAGCGTCATGTTGAGAAATTAAAGCAGTTTGCCATATGGTATAGAGAAACAAAAGCCAACAATAGACTGTGCTTGCAGAGCGCCTTTTGCTACCATTGCTTTTTTTTTTGCCGGCACCCACAGCGAGCCAAACCTTAAAAAAAAAATAATACAATGTGGCAAAAATTGACTCCTGTATATAAGTGATCTCATGCTAGTCATGGCGTTAATCCGAGTGTTATCTAAACAAATAAAAACAACAACTACAACAAATTAATTAAATATGGTGTGGAGGTTTTCAAACGAAAGCTCACGCATTGATACTGCCGCTAGAGAATGTAGCATATTGAAGTGTAATGTATTTAGTCTGACGAAGACAAATGTTAAATACATGAATAGCTTAGCCATCTGGGTGGAGCATGACAAGAGAACTGACCTCATCCCTGATTCTGGTGATCGTATGGGATGGAAAAACATAAAAGACTATATGGGATGGTAATATGACAATGACGACAACGACAACGATAATGATGACGATGATTGCTGATAATAATGATGATTATTACAGAAGACTTGGCATTCCTAAAGTATAGAAAGTTCTCAACGGTGGATCTTAAATAGAAAATCCACTAGGAAGACTAACTAACGTTAGACAAGAAGCTTAACAACAAGAACAGATCACTGCATGTAGGAGTCGACTAATTGGGAGCTTAGAGTGCATCTGCCGGAGCGGCAAGGAACCAGCAATGTGCATACAAATAGGTCAGATCTGTAAAACGGATGTACACGCAACACTCAGATTGTGAAACAAGACTAAAGTTCAAAGATGGACGACGAACGAAAACTTTCCACCTGAATTTGCCGCCAGTGAAGAAGAAGAAGATCAATGCTAAACACCATTGTTGGTACAACATAATGTAGACAAACAGAGGTTCTCGGGGACTTTCCCAGCCTGTCATATTTTAGAGACGCTTCTCGTTCATCTCCTGCTCCTATTCAGTGTGTAACAAAAATAAAAGAGACGATTTAAGTATAAGAATACATTAACCAACCAGGTTATTGCAGGCCGTAAGAAAACAAAGCTCTGTTTGCCACCTTTAGGCTAGTACCCGCCACTGCAGAACCTCCCTACGTACATCTGCTTGGCAGAATGAAAAGAAAACAGGAGCGGAATGATTAAAATATGGCTGCCTGTTCTGGCGGTTTTCTTAAATGGGTTTAAACTGCCAAATAAAACGGCTGAGTTCGGTTACCGACACTGCTACAGACATCTGGTCATTTGTCGGTCCATGAATTGATGTGTACTGATGGACATGAAACCAAATATACAAACCCCTCAGGCCGGTGGCTGCGGGAGCGAATCCTCTACTCAAATTATCCACCTACAGTTGTCCATGTCAGGTAGACAAAGGAACGGAGAAGATCTCGTCTTCGTATTGTCCCTTGGCTGGTCGGAAAATATCGCCTGACGGCTGGCTGGTCGCACAAGTGGAAAGGCTTGTTTGAAAGATCCCGAATATAATAGTTTGTTGTATGCTAGGGTATTGAGTATAAATATTTACATGCTTCTTTTTATCCTACGCCGAGCTTGTGTTCAGGATCTCTCATCTGACATGGGCGAGAGGTGATCTGTTTACTAAGATTATTGAAGAACTCGGACTCAAGAGTGTCATGATAGAAGAAAACAAGGCACAAACTGAAAGAACGTTCATCAAAAGCCATTTACTTGCACCGATCTATTCTTTGTTCTTTGTGTTGACCAGAGAGTCTTTTTAAACGGTTTGTATTGTCAATGGAGGATAAAATACTAGGGCCGGCCCATGGAGAAGATCCATGTTAGAGAGGATCTCCCAAATTTGTCATGGGGTGGTGAGACGACAGTAGTACTTGAGATTTCTCTATTTAGCCGTTGAACGACTGATGTCCCGGCGTGAGAGTGGCTCGCTTAATTAGAAATGTCATCACTATTAAAATTTCATCCCAGCGGACGACCTTTCATGCCCTCAGCTGGCCTCTCAATCCGTATGCCCAACTGTTCGCTCGGCACCGCCACTCAAGAGGCATAACATTTTCTCTTTGAGCAGATCTATTTTATCTTAGACAATAAACAGTTTACTGCGTTTCTTCCACACTGAAGCAGTAGGTTTGCAACGTGTCATTTTTGTATGAAAACTCACAGCAAACTTTAACGTGCTGGTATCTTGAGCATATGAGCCTCGACAGATGACTGGATGATCGCTTTGTTCCTAAGACCACGGTCTTGGTTATAAATTCAGTATTACGTGGTTTATTTCTTTGTCAGGGTAAGCCCAGTCATTTGAACAGTGCACTAGATAATGTTAATTAAGGTTTCTCTCGTGTTTGTCTACGAACAAATTACGAAGCGGAAGGAAACTGTCCAATGGCATGGCCCTGAAAAGGTACATACTTCACCTCACACGATAAACATGTGTATTATCAGGATTGAATGTTTCCGTAAAACGGTAAAGCCTTATTTACCGAGCAGGCTTCCTGAGCCAGGCTAAACACCGATATCAACTTT